TACATTGAATAAAATGAAACCTAGGCATGGTACACCAGTCGCTAAATATCTCATGAAACTAGAATTGGTTGATGGGTCTAAGATTTTAACTGCTTAACCCTGACCTCACCTGGAGTCCTGTCTTGTCCTTGTCTTTATCTCCTTCTTGAATTTCCATTATATCTCTCAGAGTGTCCTATATTTAGTAAAAGATTTCAGACAACACTTTTTTCATCATTATAGTAGTAAAATATGTTGTAATTGGCATAGGTAATTTCCAACCAAATGATGTTCTTTAACTTTAGTATGATTCTATACTGAGTTAAACCTAATCCAAATCTACATAATAGCCCTCACCTGAGGCTCTAACAGTTCAGGAACTGCTCTCGATACTTGAAATAAATCATGCTCTGATCTTTCAATTTCCTATAATAAATAAAAACAGAGGAGAAAATATTGAATTAGAATCTACAGTGAGTATCTCACTACATTGTTTGACATCTACGATCAATCTCTAAAAACAATTCATAGTCCCATGCATACCTACAAAATTCCAACCTCCCCTGATGCACTGAAGGGCCTGTTGCTTCTACCTCAACATTCCCTATATTGTTCTCTCTTGTTGGTTGAGTTTCCTATGTATGTTAACAGAAGATTAATCATCACAATTCATAATTTGCTATTACTTGTGCTTTCTCTTACTTACTTTCCAACTGTTAAAAAAGCTCCTGATATCTTTTATCTTTTTTTGTGGAGGTGGCATTTTTTCTAAATTATATAAGAAGGTATAGACAATCAAAAACAGACATTCATATACATGAACTGCAGAATCATTTATATAACTTGGCCAATGTCAAAAGTTACATAGTATTTCTCAATACAATGAGTTAACAAGAGTTTGGCAATAAGTAACAGTGTGGATTTGTCTATAATTTCTTTTTTTTATTCCACTCTCAACCCAAAAAGGCAAGTAATGACTCACAGGGCTCTCAAGTATGCAAAATAAAAACTTAAATGACCTGTTGTGGTGTGTTTTGCGCACAACCAGCATGCATCGTTAACGCAATGGAAAATTTAGGTATCCGAGCTTTAATTTCGGGAGCGCTGGTTGCGCTTTGGGAAGAGTCAGGGGAGAGACATGTCAGAGACACAGGGGAGAAACGGGGGAGATACGAGGGAGACCCGCACTTGCAACATGGTTCTGTCTGCATATGGTCCGAGCTCGGTACCATGTTAGAGCTGTGCTTTCACTGAGCGCCGCGGCTGTCATTACAAAGCGGCAGCAGCTGCACCAGGACGTGCACATTCGAGTGCATCGCTTGAATGTGCTTAGAGCAAATAACAGCAAGTGCCCGCTGTCACACATTTCACAGAAATTACATTATCAGCAGATAAAGGTTGTAAATCGTGGATCCGTGGAATATTTTCATCCCTAGTTTATCCTGATTCACACAACACACCCACTCATACATTTTGGATAGTAAGAGCACAATAAGTATTTTTTCAGCCTTTCAACCAACCTGTTTCTTTATTGGAGCCAGTTCTGTTCTGTCTCTGTGCCGTGTGAGCTCCTCGGAACATTAAACAGTGCGCTGACAGATTAGAAATAACGTAAGTACTTTGAATGGTAATAGATCTACAGTACTTTCCTCTGATTACTCACGTGCTACAACGCTCAGGGAACGAAAAAAAACACTTGCTTCACGCTGGCTAACTTTTAAAAATTAAACAGTCGCTCAGTGCTTCAGTTTGGCGCTGAAGAAGACAGCCAATCACTGCAGAGAACGGAACGGGTCACGTGCTGCTGCTGCTGCTGTTGCTCTGGAGGCGAGGAGGAGGCGCGACGTATGCACAAACGGAAGACATGTGTCCCGGACCGTCCGGGTCCCGGGACACATGTCATTTTGGTGGAGACTTTAGTCCTCACCAAATATTGGTGGGGACATGTCCCCATGGTCCCCACGCAAACCTACGCCCTTGGTACCCACTGCCTCAGCCTCTGTACCTCACACTCAGCCTCTGAACCCTCTGCCTCAGTCTCTGTACCTCACATTCAGCCTCTGTACCCACTGCCTCAGTCTCTGTACCTCACATTCAGCCTCTGTACCTCACACTCAGCCTCTGAACCCTCTGCCTCAGTCTCTGTACCTCACATTCAGCCTCTGTACCCACTGCCTCAGTCTCTGTACCTCACATTCAGCCTCTGTACCCACTGCCTCAGCCTCTGTACCCTCTATACCTCACACTAATGACACCGCTTCCTCTGGACTCGTGCGGTCCGTGTTTTACTACAGATTTACACTGATTTACCGCGACCGCCGCGAGTAATTGTAATTGTTTACGCCTCCCTGCGGACGCATAAATTAACACAAGCATAAGTCAGGAGCTGGCGAGTGTCAATGGCCTTTTCTCTGCGACGCTGATGAATGGTTGTTTTCTCGCTCGTGCTCTCGTAGCAGAGATGGAGTTGATTGGACTCTGGAGAGAAGGCAAATTATACCAAACACCTGAAACATGGCCCAGGCTCAGGCTGAGGCTTTTCAGATGGACCCACAGAGCTTATAGGTTAGTCCTCCGTGTGTCGCCGTTTCAGGGTCTTCTAAAGACCTGCACCGAGCGGGACGCGGAACATGGGATGGAGAAGTTGTTGTGTTGTGATTTTATTCTATTGAGTTATAAGATAAGAGTTTATTGATCTCTGACGGAGAAAGGCACATGTGTCATGGAAACATCAGGATTGAACAGTCTGAGAGTTCTGTTTGTGGCTTTGAACACAGAGATTTTTCAAACAGCATTTGCTTAAAATGTTAAATTTACTCTACATTTTTATTATTCTTTACAGACTCTACGTCCAGAGAAGAAAGACATCACAAAAATAAAAATATTTACCGCAGAGTCCTGCACCAGCGACGCCACATCAGACCCACAGTGTAGAGCAGAGTCTGATATAGAGCAGAGTCTGACGTAGAGCAGAGTCTGATGTAGAGCAGAGTCTGATGTAGAGCAGGGTCTAATGTAGAGCAGAGTCTGATATAGAGCAGAGTCTGATGTAGAGCAGAGTCTGATGTAGAGCAGAGTCTGATGTAGAGCAGGGTCTAATGTAGAGCAGAGTCTGACGTAGAGCAGAGTCTAATGTAGAGCAGGGTCTGACATAGAGCAGAGTCTAATGTAGAGCAGGGTCTGACGTAGAGCAGAGTCTAATGTAGAGCAGGGTCTGACGTAGAGCAGAGTCTAATGTAGAGCAGAGTCTGATGTAGAGCAGAGTCTGATGTAGAGCAGAGTCTAATGTAGAGCAGAGTCTGACGTAGAGCAGAGTCTGACGTAGAGCAGGGTCTGACGTAGAGCAGGGTCTGACGTAGAGCAGAGTCTGATGTAGAGCAGAGTCTAATGTAGAGCAGAGTCTAATGTAGAGCAGAGTCTGACGTAGAGCAGAGTCTGACATAGAGCAGAGTCTGACATAGAGCAGAGTCTAATGTAGAGCAGAGTTTAATGTAGAGCAGAGTCTAATGTAGAGCAGAGTCTAATGTAGAGCCGAGTCTGACGTAGAGCCGAGTCTAATGTAGAGCAGGGTCTGATGTAGAGCAGGGTCTGACGTAGAGCAGGGTCTGACGTAGAGCAGAGTCTGACGTAGAGCAGGGTCTGACGTAGGCAGGGTCTGACGTAGAGCAGAGTCTGACGTAGAGCAGGGTCTGACGTAGAGCAGGGTCTGACGTAGGCAGAGTCTGACGTAGAGCAGAGTTCTGACGTAGAGCAGGGTCTGACGTAGGGCAGGGTCTGACCGTAGGCAGGGTCTGACGTAGCGCAGGGTCTGACGTAGAGCAGGGTCTGACGTAGAGCAGGGTCTGACGTAGGGCAGGGTCTGACGTAGAGCAGGGTCTAACGTAGGGCAAGAGTCTGACGTTAGAGCAGGGTCTGACGTAGAGCAGGGTCTGACGTAGGGCAGGTCTGACGTAGAGCAGGGTCTGACGTAAGCAGGGTCTGACGTAGGGCAGGGGGTCTGACGTAGAGCAGGGTCTGACGTAGAGCAGGGTCTGACGTAGAGCAGGGTCTGACGTAGAGCAGAGTCGGATGTAGAGCAGGTCTGACGTAGAGCAGGGTCTGACGTAGAGCAGGGTCTGACGTAGAGCAGGGTCTGACGTAGAGCAGGGTCTGACGTAGAGCAGGGTCTGACGTAGAGCAGGGTCTGACGTAGAGCAGAGTCTGACGTAGAGCAGAGACGTATGCAGAGCTGCAGAGTCGTCAGAACCGACAGATTGAGTTCTCGCTTGAAATCTAAAATAATATGTTAAATAATATCTGCTCTTCTGGAGTCAGAAATAATAACTTCATAAAAGTTCAAATAGACAAAAATAGTTCTAAAAATAAGGTTTGGTAAAAGCAGCTTCTTAAACGTCAGATCAGTCTGGTCTGGTCTGGTCTGCTGTCTGGTCTAAAATCGCTGAAAGCACAATACATGTCAGCTTTAGACCCAAGAACCAGTTTGTGGACCATCTTTGTGATAGACTATTTTGTTCCACACATTGTAGCCAGGTCTTCTTTTTTCGACGCCACACTGTTGCTTTTTGACAGCCTCAGTCCTGGGTCTACAGCCTCAGTCCTGGGTCTACAGCCTCAGCCCCTGGGTCTACAGCCTCAGTCCTCTGGGTCTACATGCCTCAGCCCCTGGGTCTACAGCCTCAGTCCTGGGTCTACAGCCTCAGTCCTGGGTCTACAGCCTCAGTCCTGGGTCTACAGCCCTCAGTCCTTTAGTCTACAGCCTCAGTCCTGGGTCTACAGCCTCAGTCCTGGGTCTACAGCCTCAGTCCTGGGGGGGGTCTACAGCCTCAGTCCTGGGTCTACAGCCTCAGTCCTGGGTCTACAGCCTCAGCCCCTGGGTCTACAGCCTCAGTCCTGGGTCTACAGCCTCAGTCCTGGGGTCTACAGCCTCAGTCCTGGGTCTACAGCCTCAGTCCTGGGTCTACAGCCTCAGACCTGGGTCTACAGCCTTCAGTCCTGGGTCTACAGCCTCAGCCCCTGGCGTC